GTGTGTGTGTGTGTGTGTGTGTGTGTGTGTGTGTGTGTGTGTGTGTGTGTGTGTGTGTGTGTGTGTGTCTTAGCAAAATATCTCATAAACCACTGGACCAAATTTAAAGAAACCCTCAGAAATGAGCTGCTATTTTCACCCACAAATACTGCATTTTTGGAGTCAACATGATTCACGATGGTCACCACCGCTAACTGATCTTTGTTAACACAAATTTGCTATAACTCAGTTATCTTTACATAGATCGAGGTAAAATTTGACGTGGCAGTATAGCTGAGTCATTTGCAACCCATATTTTGATCAAAAATCTTGTAACATTTTTTCTGATATCATGCAGTATTTGACCAGAATAGCTATAATTTGTTAATTTTGATGATTTTAATTGAAAACTGACAAAGGGCAGCATTCCTTATGCATTCCTTTAAAGAAAGCTATAATGCTAAAGTTAAACCTGAAGTCAATATAATGGGGGGAAAAGGTTTTATTACAGTTGTTTCAGGTCAACTTTGGAGCTAAAAATATCTCATTTTAGTGAGAGTCTCCTTACCTTGACTGTCATCTTCTTGAATGGGTGGGAGTCCTGTTGGGAGGCAAAAAACCAGTAACTATCAAAAAACTGACACAACCTGGGAACATTTTTGATGGTTACAGATTGTTTTTGTGTTTTCAGGAACTCACCTGACCAGGAAGGAAGCCCAGATGACTGGAGTCTTGTCCTTGCTGGAAATGAGTGATCAAAAACTGAAGAATAGATACTAAAAGATGATGCATATATATAAAATGCAAATTACCTTTAGAAGTAGTAACATCTGGTTGTGTCTCACCAACTGTACAAAGAACATCAGAAACATGCACTCAGTCACAAACATTAATTATTATTTCTGTTCCATGGACTCTGCAAATGAACACTGTAAATCAGATGCTGGTACACAGACCAGTACTTGTATTTTGACTCATATCACCAGCTGGGGCACAATCTGCCTCTCAGAAGCTCACACCTTCTGGCTGAAAATGTCATATTCAATAAGGACATATTATAAAAGGACAACAGGTGCAAAAACATTGCCATATGAAATTATATGGAATGTGACATCTTTTTTGTAACTAGAGTTGTTTCAAAACAACAACAATTTTGGTTTTGGCCCTGCTCAGACCATTCATCAGGTCAAAATAAACCCATATTAAAGGCATTCAAAGAGTTACCTATAACAGGTAAAATAGGGATTAATCATAAACTTCATGCAGAAACCCATTTAAAACCATCAGAACTATCGGATCTTAGAATTTACTGGACTTTAAAGAAAATAAAGAAATTAAAAGTGTTTACCATTTAACTGCTGACTGGTAAACTGGTAACCAGGAGGCCCTTTAGGTTTTGCTGTGAAGGGAAAAAAATACTTTTGGTGCATTTTTAAAACCTATAACTCAACAAACCGCTGCCATTGGTGTTGTTCTGTCTTACTGAACAAATGTTTTCCAAAATAGATTTGTCTGATGACAGTTGTCAGCACACACAGCAACACGACACACAGCAGAGCCAGCCAGATCACCCTGATCGTACACCACTCATCTGGAGGGAAAAAAGTCAGACTTTCATCTCAGCGTGTCTGTTTCTTTCATCATCACTGTTCGAACTTAAAAGGAAAGCAAAATTCTTATTTAATGCAAAAAAGCTCTCATTATTGCACCAAAAGAACCTATAACATTGTAAATACAGACATATGTGTCAGAGGAACAGAAATTAGGGGTGAAACATCTAAAGGAGAATGGAAAGCAGTGAGTTTTTGGAAAAACGTGGTAAGAAAAAAATGGGTGGAAATTGTGCGTTTGATGGATGTCTAGTTTTCATCTGGAAAATATGACACAGACTTGGCTTTAAAAAAAACAGGGGGCGTTTTAGAGCTCAGAGCAGAAAGAAAGAAAGAAATCAATACAGGAGGAGCAGGAGATTGTGGTCTTACGAGAGAGAAAAAATCATGTAGTACAAAGGAGGAGAGAATCACAGCGTAGATTTGAGTCAAGAGAAGGACAATTGAAGGAAAATTGTTCTATTGAAAAAAATGACTCCACTGAGGGACTGAGAGAGAGGGCGGGTAATAAAATGAAAACTGTTTCCTGGTCCCTCATTGTCTCCTCACTGCTCCTTTTTTCCCTATAGGAGCCGAGCCACGCGAGGAACAAAGAAGAACCTGTCTCTCGTGCCGACACCAACCTTCATCTGTTGGTTTCCATGGCAGCTTTTCCATTGCTGTTCCAGTCAAAACTGTTCGATTGGCGAGCCAAAGGAGACAGCGGCTTTGATTGGTTGATTTAGACGTGGGAAGGAGAGGAAGGCAGCAGTAGAAACCCCTCGTCTGGCCTTCGCCGTCACCCGTTTGGTCTTCGTCCTCTTCAGGGTGAATGGAGCTGTGGTTACTGAGGCCATTTAAAGTGACAGTTAGGATCTTTGTGTCGTTGAGATGAAGCCAGACCGATGCCTCAAAATGCATCTTCACGCCTGTGAACAAAAAACAAAAAAATAAATGAAATATCTTTAAACGGTTTCCTGAAACTTTGCACCAACATTTATTACTTGAAGCTGAGATCCTGCCGTAGAGTTCATCCATGTTTGTGTCTGTTTCACACACGAACCAGCTCATTTTTGGATCGTCGCTGATTTCCCACGTTTCTGTCAAATTGTTTTGATTGTTTTGCGTGCAGAGCCGCTCCCACTTTTCATCATCTGCCGTCTGAGACAGATCACAAATGTCTTTTCTCTTTCCTTCAGCATTTTCAGGCCTTCCACTTTCCCCCTTCTTTAACCGGTTCCTTTGTTCACAGTGTCGGTAGGGAAGGCAGAAGAAATCCACTTTCGACACTGAAAGGATAAAGAGAATGGAGATTTAGACAGACCGCATCATGCTCTGAAGTCAGAAACCGAAGCCCTGTTCCTCAGGTTTTTTTAATCTTTTTTTATGGTGCTCAGGGGGAAGACAGAAAAGATGAAGAAAACTGAAGACAAACAGCAGCAGGCTGCTTTTATAAATAAGTGTTTTTTCATGGCACAACACAGAAATATTTTCAAACAGCTGTCAGTCACAGCTGGATGGTGCTATGTTTGGGTCTGGCTCTTATCTCCAGAGACACAGAAGGAGAAAAATGAACAAAATAAGCTTTACTTCTAAAAATTGACTTTAAGAGGAAGTTAGAACAAAACACAAAAAAGTGGGTACTTCTTCCTTATTAATGAGTCTGAAATGATGCAACAGAAACGATGAATAAACCAAAAACGATACATGTTCCTCCTCGTGTTGCTCCGACCCACCTGTGGATATTCTGAAGAACTCTGGCAGGCAGATGATGAAGACGAGGATCACGAGGAAGAGAAGCTTGGTCACTGCAGCTCTTACCATGGTTGTGCAATAAGTTGGTTCAAACTGACACACTGTGTGCACCCGTACCACCTTCCATATTCACAAACACAAACGTGTGCTTTACCATCAGGTTTGGGTCCACCTAAAAGGTTCTGTCAGGCTTTAGGAGGCTCTGATGATGTTGTTTTGTTCGTAATTCATACCGACGAAGGCAGCAACATGTGTACATTTTGCAAAGCAACTTCACTTCCTATTGCACTTCCTGTAGATTTCTGAGTGTGTGCAATGGAGAGAAGCAGAGACAACAAGGGGTTTCTGTCAGCTCAGTGTGAGTACAACTTGTGTCTTTTGTCTGGGTGTAGATGTGAGAGATTGTACACAACTGTTCTTCTGTGAGGGGAGATGAAATGTGCTGGCAGGAATTTATTTATGATTTTAAGTCTGCACCATGCCATTATTATTTTCACAAAGTTTGTGGGAACAAAAAAAACCAATTGCTCCTTTTAGAATGAAACTGAAACCAGGAGCTTCTGCATTAACAAACTAATCACCAGTGAAAGAGAGCTTTTCTTAAAAATCTTTATTTTTCTTTTTTTATCTTTAGTGGTGTGTGTTGACACAACAACCATAAAAAAAATCCTCTAAAATACCCTTAGAGGAGCAATTTATGCTACTCATCCATGTGGAAATGGTTATAAGACCATTTTCAAACAATTCAGAGTCAAATTTTCTGTAATGAAACTAATTATTCACCACTGCTAAACGTTCAAGACAAGTGACCATGACCATGCAACGTGCAAAATACAACAAAAACAAACTCCACAAGTCATGAGGAACTGTACAGGTTTCATTAAAAAAATTAAACTTTACAACAGGACAATCAGAAAAAGACTTTTTTGGATAAGTTGCAACAATGAACATCTTTGTATTATAAATATTGTAGAGTCGATGTGAGACTGCTGTCTGATAGTAAAGCCTGACTTAAACCAGATCATCCACCAGGACCAGGATCCAAGGCACAACGGAAAATCTGCATTGAAACTACTGAAAATGAAAGGTATTGAGGGACTGCAATCATCCAGTCCAAGTCCAAACCTCAGCTTGAAATGCTGTAGTTGGAGTGTAAAAGAGCAGAATGCCCTAAAACCTCTATAAAATAAATGTTAAAGAAAACTGAGTCCATTTTTCTCCTCACAGTGTGGGAGACTGAAACAGTTTTACACAAGCAAGCTCAAAGTCATAGCTTTACACACACACACACACACACACACACACACACACACACACACACACACACACACACACATATATATATATATATATATATATATATATACACACACACACACACACACACACACACACACACACACACACACACATATTGACATAGTGTTTTATAAAGCTTTATTCTTTTGTGGCAAATAAGGTTAAGAAAGTAGACATAAAACGTGTCGTCAACAACAAGCTTTTCTTGTTGTCACCAGTTCAGTACTCCCAGTACTTTTCCACTCCTCCGTCCTGCCACACTCACTGACACCTGCTCCGTTTGCTCAGCTGTTTTCTACATCCTGCTTAGCTTCAGTCCATATAGCTCCTCAGTCAGTCCTCAGTGGAGCATCATGTCGGTTCTCACACCAAGTCTGGTTCCTGTTTAGCTTTAAAGTCTCTTCCTGCCTCCTCCAGACATCTTGCGCCTCCCTGTGCTCATCCTTCATCTCTGTACATACAGAATCTGAAGGTTAGTGTCATGTTTCCTGTCACAGTCTCACAAATCTGACTCTTATACACAGAACAAGTCGCAACAATGTGTGTCAAAGTTTGCAGCCTTATAACTTTACCTGCAAGCTGACTTTGCCCATTTGTTGTATTTAACAAATATTAAACTAATAAAGCGTCCCGATGCATCTCAGTAATCCAGGTAGAAAAAAAATCAAAAAGAAAAAAATAAGTAGGTCCTCTGGATGGGTTCTTCTTTAGTGAAACATTTCGTCTCTCCTCCAAGAGACTTCTTCAGTCTGATGAGTTTCAGGTGAACTCTGCCTAATCAGCACTGCCTCCACATGGTGGACAAACAGGTTAGTCACATGCAAAAGAGGGCCATCGCCTAACAATAAGCTTAATTAGCTCTATTGTTCATAGAGGGTCATGTGGCCCATCACCTGACTTATTGGTTTGGATGCTTCGGCTGTGGTTATTTGGTGTTTTGTTATGTGTATGTAGTGAGTGCAAGTGGGGCTCAACGTCCCCTTGTTTTTGTCTCTCTTTCCCTATTTGTGTTGGGTATCATTGGGGCCCTGATTCACTGGGGGCTGAGTCATACTTGCAATAACAGCATTGTAAGACTGTGTGTCCACCATGTGGAGGCAGTGCTTATAAGGCTGAGTTCACCTGAAACTCATCAGACTGAAGAAGTCTCTTGGAGGAGAGACGAAACTTTTCACTAAAGAAGAACCCATCCAGAGGACCTACTTATTTTTTTCTTTTCAATTTAAACTAATAATCTTAAGGGGTCTAATTTATAATATTGTTTTTATGAGACTAAAAGCTAAATAAAATACACAGTGTTCTCACAGATTTCTTCTATCTTGAATGTTGCAGCTCAGTAGAGTCAAACGGTGTCTGCTTTATCGTTTTCCACTTTCATCTGCTTCAAAAATAATTTATATTTATTTTCTTTGTACAGACTGACTTGATCTTTGTTTGGTGGTTGGTGCAGCTCGAATTTTATGGTTTGGTTCCTGAGAGCCACTTGTCTTGGCAGGACACACACGTACGCACACACAATGCTGAGCATGTCTGGCAGGTGAAGCCTTATCTCTTTTCCACAGCAGTTTGTTGCTCTCAGGACTCAGTCGGCAGCTTCAGACGAGAGACAGACGCTGCCAAAACATAAAAAAAAAAAAGCCAGAAAAACAGTTTTGAGTGCTTTTACATTTAATCAAATCTGCTTGGCACTTGAGTGATTTCAAGCATGTTGCTAATTCATTGTTTCAACACAAGTTCCTCAGAACAAAATGTTGGTGTAGATGCCCAGCCAGGAAATCTTTAAAGCCTATCATTAATATTTTTAGGTAACTAACCTTCTCTTTTTAAGACATTTTGCTTCTCATCAGAGAAATTTTCACAAATCAGTCTAAAATGTGAGTTGTTAATTTTTTAGACTGTGATCCACATTTTGGACAGAGAAGATAAGCGGTTGGAAAGAGGGATAAAATAAACCATTTATGTCAAACAGGAAATATAACAAAAAATAAAGGAGAAGTCAATTCATCAGAAACTTTTACTTTGTCTCCAGTCAGTTTCATACAGAGTGTCATGTGGACCAGGCCATCAACAATCATAATGACCCTCAGGAGGGAGAAAGAGTGATTTGCATGTGAGTTTAGTCCTCAATCAATCAATCAATCAATCAATGATGCAGTGCACTTTAATACAAAAGCTTGAAATTCCCTATTTATTAGTCCGAGAAGGCTGCATTGATGAGGAAACGAAAACTTTTCAAAAAGAAAAAACTATCATGATTTATGTTCCAGGTAATTAACTGAAGCAGTTCAGATAATAGAGTTAAGCTCAGAATGCACATCGCACACCAATCTGCATGCCAAAGTTTGAAACAAAGACCTTGCACCATCTGTTAGCATTCAGAGTTTGTGTTGGCGATCACTCTCAGCTACTACCACACCAAATTTTAACTCTGTATCCCAAAAACTGATTGAGTTCTAGCCTTAAAATGAGAAACACTCAAATTTAGGAGCCCAGATAGTTACAGTTTGTGTAACTTCAGTTCTGCATTTTCGCTTTTTTATTTTATTTTTGTATTGTCAGTGTATGGCTAATAGAAAACAACTGATTTATTCTTCCTTATAACTGAATAATCCTATAAACATGTACTGTATATTTTCAGTCCCATAAGTATGTGTACAGTACATCTATTTTCAGCGCGTTTTCTCACATCTTCACAGCACCCCACGTATGAAAGCCGGTGTTAGAAGCCATAGCTGGTGGCAATGCAGACCAGCTGACAAAGTTAACTTCCTGATATCAGCAAAACCTCGGGGCCACACGTCGCTTTCCTGCTCTGAGTGCCAGAAATCTAATCAGTAATAACTGCCTGTGATTGGGTGGAAGGCCCAACTCTCTGCCAGGCAGTGAATTAACTCCGTTTTATAGATTTGAATGCTCCCGAGTGCTGAATTTTAATGTTTTTAAAAACTCAATGGCCTCCTCTCCAGGCTCTCAGTCCAAACGTCTTTCTGCTGGATATTTCCACTGCATTAAAGCTCCAATAAATCTTTTCATTTATCGACTGCGTGTTCCACCAACCAGCGATGTCATTAAGAAACAGCAGATGACTACAAGTTTATTGTTAGATGCTGAACTTTAAGAAGTTGTGCTGAACTCCCTCACCTCTAGAGATCAGTGCGAGAACTTTAGTCGTGTTTATAGTAATTGCTCCGTTTAAACTTTTGGCTCACTGCAAGAACTGTTGAAATATTTATGAAACCAAACAGGTGTTTTTTTCTTAAGTAATCTGTCCGTTTGTTCTGTCACCTTTAACTTACAGAGCGTATCTGTTATTTCTACCTTTTGCAGTCAAAGAATCAAAATGAGAAAACCAATTCAGCCGGCTGTGCAAAGTGAGAATTGTGGATGTCTGTGTGGGAGGAAGGGAAAGAGTGAAAAAAAAGTAATCATGAGTTTAACATTTTCTCAGTACCAAACACACGCAGTGATCAAATGCTTGAATATCAAAATAACTTTATACTTTATTTATGTTCTCCATTCCACATGAGGTCATAATAATACAAATAAATACACAAATACGCCTAAATCTTTTAAGTGGTGATAAAATTTATAAACCACCAGCTTCATTCAGTGATCATCAGTTCGTAATAGTGATCACGATTGACTGCAGCTGTAGTTTATCTTTGTCAGCATAAACAGTACTTTTAATTTGACTAAAACTAAAAACAATGGGAAAATTCAAAGAACGGGACTGTAGATCTGCACAAGTTGGAAATATCTCTTAGTCATTTTGAAACAACTTCAGATTCCAAAATTATCACTTCAAACATTTTAAGTGGTTGCAAGTTATTCAGATGTAGCTCAGCTTTGCTAAGATCTGGCAGAATCCTAACATAAAAAATGGATAAAAAAAACATCAAAACTGGTTTCTAACT